TCGCTTGTTTTTCATTGATTGGTCCTGGGAAAAATATATTTTGCCTCTCGCGTCGCGACGTTCTCCATCATGAGAGACAGACGAAAATAAAATTGAAGTCTGCCGATGTACCGGTATAAAGTTTGGTCCTGTCTGATATTTTCTGCAGAATAGACGAATGTACAGTATAGGAAACGGGATAAAAGTAATTTCAGTTTGTACAAACTTTACAGAAATACGCAGAGATAGCCGCTTCATAAAAACATAGAACGTATCGAAACACGGAACGAACAATATTTCCGTTTCATATTCGAAGCATAATTTGTCCGCAAAATAATTGCTCTCCAACATTTGTTTTTTTCCTGAATATTATTTTAAATATAGTTATTATTAAAAATATTAAATTTTTCAATCAACATTACATATCACGAACATTAAAAGAACGCTTGAGCAAATTGGAAGCGATTTTTGCAAAATTCACCATTTATTTTGCACCGTCAAATATATAGTAAAGCTAAATATTAACAATCAGCACGAGATCGGGATAATTTGTTGCGATAATATTTTATATTTGCATCCACCGTCGTGTACGTGCGCGAAGAGTCCGCGGCAGGAAAAATCGAGCGCATTACATGAAGCATCCGGTGGGCGGGTAAAAAGATCCGATAGCGGTGCGGGAAATACAAGGGGTATAATGCTAATAATAACGTCGCAGTCATGATCTTGTCGTTGCGCGTTCGTTCAACTGCATCTTAACAATATGCAACACCGACATACCCGATTTCTCGTCGACCGTGGTACCGCTCCCAGCAACATACGAGACAGCCTTCGTTAGTCCGAGAAACAACAACACTACACTCCACATGTTCTTTCGTTATTCCGCGCAGATCCTCGTCACGAAAAAGATTACGCACGATGCAACGTCGCGCGCGCGGTATGCACTCTTTTCCTCCAGAGGTCTTCGTACACAACCGATCTCTATGGGACTCGTCTGTGAGCCGATCGTCGAGCCCCGAGTAAAGTCATCGTTTCAGAGTCACTCGCGAATTATACGCACGATAGTCCGCTCGGCTGGCTCCATTTCCTTCCGGTCTAAGGGCTCTTCGGGATCGCGAGAAGCGATCTGTAATCGCGCGATCGGCAATCACTGTCCGTGACGATCCCCTTCGTAGTTTCGTATATTTCGTTCTCCAAGATACACGACGAGATGCAAACTCGCAACCGATGATGGATGTTCCTTTTGTTTCTCAATTCTAAGGTAGCCACCCGCTGGATTCTCGTTTCCGCGACCGCATTCCCCGTCGCGTCCGCCGAATCCACGGCTCCGGTGCGGCTGCCAGTCTACCGGCAATAAGCGCTTCGGTACCCGCAGCGCCCGTGCGCCCTGTTTTTCGTCTCTAATTAAACACTAATTAAAGCACCCGCGGCGCCGCGCATTCTCTCGTCGCGCACACTTTTTTCACCCTCCCTTCCCGCCCCTCTCTATTCTTCCCGCCGCACTCCTCTCGTCGCTGTTTCGTCCGTTATTAAAACGCGGTACGAGCGCGATAATCTCCGAGGTAGCGGAAAATCTCGCGCACTTCCGATCTATCCAAGCGCCGCCAGCGCTGATAACCCGTAACCTCCACCATGGTGTCTGCAATCCCCACTGACCATGATGCGACTTGGGGGACAGTTCGCCGCGTCGTTACCGAGAGAATGAGGAATTAGAAAAAAATTGGAGAATGTTTTCCACCTGTGACGTTCGGTGTTTTTTTTTAAATGGCGAGTAACGAAGATTTTACGATCGATACAAGTGTAGTTCAAACGAGGTCTCTTCGGATTGTTATTGCGCTAAATTGTGACGCGATTGTCCGTCGTATAGATATTATCACGTTCACAGTGAAACTTTCATGTATCATTTGCGGAGCACAAGTGTCTCTTCACAATAACGATCGGTCTCTGATTATTATCCATCCGGCTAATTGCAAAATAAACACAATCTCACGTCCAATCACTTCGTGATCCAAATGAGTGACTTTTTCACCGAATAATTTTTAAACCGCTTATCGTTCTAACACGCGTGCCGATTGGGAGTAAATTTATTAAGATGCTAAGATTTCTGATAATCGGCAAGATTAAAGTCAGGGTTCGTTTGGAAGTTCACCGTTCTGGACACGAGTTTGCCGATGACGAGCGATCGCAAAATGTATAAAAAGCGAAGGACTGCGGAGATGTTCAATCACGCCAGGCTACCACAGATTTGGGGTTTTCCTGGAATCGGTCCAAGTAACGACCGAGGGGACGCAAAGGCCTGCAATCACGTTGGGACAGCAATGGTCGCGAACCACCTGGAATCGATTCGAGGGAAGATTGAGAGTGGACGACGAATTCGATCACGTAGTCATCGCAGATCTTTTTATCGAGCGGAGTTCGCTCCGAAACGGGAATCCTCCGATGATTTTCATTCATCCCTTCGTGTGGTAAGCCATTTCATCGCTCGCATCCGGGTATGTACATCAAAAGATTGCGAGGAGCATATCGAAGGAATGAATACGCCGCACTGACAAAAACGTGACCCTATAAACCTGTCCGTTGCAGTATATTTTATTTAAAAGCAAAAAAACATAAATAAATTGCTTTTTCTTCACTTTGTGGATTATTCCTAGTTATGTTCGTTCCACGGAAAAAATTGACATGTGCGCGTTAAACTCGAACCAAGTCCCACGAGTGTCATCCGCGGCGTCCTCGAGAAAAATTTTGCGGCACGTCGCGCGCGCGTGGATGTTTTTTTTCCGAGCTGCTCGTTATCTCGCCGCGGTTATCGCCCGGCTGTTTGCGAGCGGCACGAAGAGATGCGCGATAACCCCTCGCGAAGCAACGCGACACGCCACTGGGAACACGTGGTTCTCGACCGACGGCGGACGGCACACTGACGGAAAAGACGAGCAAACGGCGCCGCGACGGACGCGCAGGCTGCAAAGCCTCCCGAGGAGGTGGCGTTGTAGGTGGAGGAGGTGAGGGTGGGCGCAGAGAAAGGGGGGTTCCGACTCGTGCACCACCACCGCCACCGCCAACAGGGAGGATACTACGGCAGAAAGGGATGTCTGTTTCTATATCTAAGGGGGCGCGTATACTCGGATAATGCACGTCGCCGGAGTGGGCAGAGGTGAAAGGGATGCCCGGCTGGATACACACGCGTGCTCTTTGGCACCCCGCCGTGCCGCCCTCTCACCCATCCCTCCTTCCGCGAAATAGAATGGAACGATATGCGAGTGCAGAGTAGCCGATGGCATCGATAAATGTTTACCGGTATCCGCCGGAAGCTCTGCCAACGGATATATTATTTCGCAGTAATGAAACGAAGAAAGAATTGGATGCATGCGCTTGCTTACATATGTCTAATTAATTTGTTGATTATTGATGGTGATTGATAGGAAATTGCATCGATCGGGAAATATAAAACGCGTGCTTACTCGGCAAATTCTCGAGGTGAGTGCATCCTCGGATGGTGGATTTAATAGACAAATAATTACTATTAATGCGAATTTGTGCTCACTGATAATTTGCTGTGCTTATGTAACACAGTGTACGAGTGTGCACCTCCAGGGGTACTACGATAGAGATATCAGTATCTGTATCTAAGGGAATATGTGCTATTGCGTATCGGTGAACGCAAAAGAGCTGCCAATAATGATTTACCAATTATGCATATGCAAATGTGCGATTAAAGATAAAAATTTAAAAAAAACATGAGAAGAGACGAAGGTAGCACTTGATTATTTATTGTGTGAAGCGGTGCGATGCAAAAATAAATGGTTTAAATTATGGTCGTAAAATAACGACCAACGTAAATTAGGCGGGCCGCTGAAACTGTTACGATACCCATGTAATTAGCCGCGCCGTAATATTTGCATATTACTCGAAACTTCTGTGCACCGGAATGCGATGTGCGTACGTTACTACTATGCGATACAAAAGGTCAAAAACAACGACAATATCTGGCAACGATACACACGGAATATTTATAATATTTGATAAAATGCTAAACTGCAGTAAATACAGTAAAAATCATTCATTTTCGTTATTGAGTTTCGGCTAATTATGCTATAAACAGTGCGAAATATGGTCATCTTGAAGATTGAAAAAATTCGACATTAAAAATCTATAGTGCACATTTGAAAAATTGCACAATTTTATAATAAATTAATTTTTAAAAATTTATAATATATTTTAGCAAGTTCTTTTACTTAACGATTATGTAAAGTAGTTCACTTAAGGAAAATAATTTAATGAAGGAATTATTGAATAATGAATGTTAAAACATTTTGCTGAGAATGAAATCAATAAATATGTTATACATTATATAGCATTTGACAACTCCCGCGTGAGGTTTGTATATAAATTAACCTTCGGTCATAAAATTAATTTATGCAACGTAAATTAGATACTGACAAACGTGCTGCTGTAATACTAATATACATTAATTAATTTAAATCGCGTAGTTCATTTACTACTTTACATAAACGTCAAATGATCGATGTAAATCGCATTCATATCTTTCGGCGGATATATATGCAATGAAATGTATATCATTTATAATTAATTATACCATAGAGTGAGTATATTGATTAATATTTAAAATGAATAATACGTAAACAGGAAATAATTCAGTCAATTTCTATCAGTCTGCGTTTACTTTCAGACTTTAATAAGTGAGGTGTAGAATATGAAAATCCGACTTTACATAACTTAATTATACACCACACTTCACATGCAAATATTAAATATTGACTTTTACTTTGTCAAAAAAAGTTTTTACAAAAATTGAGAGAGAGAGATCAAAATTACCATACTTTTCAGGTTTAGTAACGTCAAGAGAAATACGAATATCGGTATTACCATACATATGTTTTACAAATTTTATCAAATAATCAGTAAATAAGATATCAATCCTGCCTACTTAATTACAGCGAATCAAAGCGCAATCAATTATGGCAATCAATCAATTGATAATCAGGTAAACAAATAAATTTACTCACTCATCGCTGCACCATGCTGCCTCTTTCCTGACTTTTCCAGCGCCAATCTAAGATTATATAGTTTCTCCTTGATTATATGTAGTGTCGATGTAGTGTCGATGTAGTGTCGATGTAGTGTCGATGTAGTGTCGATGTAGTTTTTCCTCAGCCTCTCCATTTTCTTGCATCTCCATGTTTCCATGTCTCAGCATCCCAGCTGGAATCACATAATATAGAAGAAATATATAAAAATAATAATATTATATAATATTAACATACTTGCGATATTATATTTAATAAAAATTTAATTGTGATAATATATTTAAAATATTTAATAATTAAATAGAAAAGTGCAATACATATATAATGATTTAGCTTCAATTACAATAATCAAATAAAAAACCATATTCTCGCGCTGTGACATTCAATCGACCACGAACCGAATATCGTAAACAAAACAATGAATTACCGGTGTATTCGACTGGCTGCTATCGGCTGACAAACGGCTGATTCATTCGACACTCGCGATGCGATTATGTACTTTGTGCGTACAATTAATAAGCGAATTCAAAAATGCACCAGTGGTTATGCTTGGAATCGGAAGCATTTGCCACGAACCACGAAATAAAAACCACGTCTCGCTCGCGCGTTCACTACACGTGCTCTAAACCGCGAATCGAATGTCGTAAACGAAACAACCGAGAGCTATCGCTTACATTTCTAGCACAGCCTAACGATCGTCGAACAATTGGAATAATTGGACGATGCCCGACCCGCCATTACGCGACCGACCCAGTGATAGCAGTTGATAGAGCGGATTAGGATCGCGCGATCGCGGTTAACTACAATCGCACATAATAACCAAGGCATCGGCATCAATAATCGCCCGATGCCTCGCAATAGTCACCGTGAATGCACTTATTTATCCGCTTAAATCGCTTTTGATGGACGAACAACGGACAAACGACCCGAGAGACACAGAACATTCGCGAAATATTTGAACGTATGAAATTAGTACGGAAGAGCGCGAACAGAGGTAGCAACTGTAAGGCCGAGTCTAAGAAATTGACCAATCATAGTCGATTATTCTTCTGTGATATCTGTGAGTGGTCAATTTCTTACGCTTAAAGCTTACTACACCTATAAACACGCATAAAAAATTACGCGCGCTTTATCGTGAAATTCAAAATTACCAACCATTTTAATATAAAAAAAATTAATTTTTAAACCGATCAAATTAATTAATTTATAGATAAAAAGTGATTTACTAAATTTCGGAACACTTAATAGATACATTCATCCAGTGATTGGAAATATTTGTACTATATTCAGTGAAATATTAACTGAATGATAGATATTAGTACAATATTAAAATTACTTATCAATATATAATTTGCATATTGATTAATATGATATCATTTACCATTTAATTACTATCAATTAATTTAATATTTTATTGGGCATACTCGCAAGATATGTTTATACGCACATTTATATTTTATAGATATCCATCGTCATTTCCTAACGGATTATATGATATGATATGCAACATAACGTTTCAAGGCACACAGAACTCCTATTGTACTACACTATATTATCAAATACTGCAATTCAACTATTTATTACCGTGTATCTCAATACACATTTCAATTTTTTAATCGTTATCAGCGACGTTTGTTTCCACACAAAACGTGATACCCATACTCAATTGATTTATATGCATTTTAAAAATGCAAACTATTTATAAATTAAAAATAAAATAATATAGAAAATTTTAGCAACTTTTTACTATTACTAAAAAGTTGGTTTAATTTGAACCGTTTTTATATAATTTTCCAAATATAATAATGACGAACTTTTGTTGATAATTTTAACCGAATTTTCACGCGACAAATTTAGCCATTTTCTACAGATTTAGCCAAATGCACGAGCAAACATCTTGCAAATATTTTAATATATAACATATTGAATTTTGCACGAAAGGTTCACGCGGTGAAATATGTTGATTTTCCTGCAAAGATAGAAGAGATTAATGAACCACTGCAAGCATGAAAACATAAAATCGGATTTGCATAAGCCGGCAAAATGTTACATATTATGTATTTACAGTATTTACGAAAAGATTGTACTGTCTATTTCAATCTAAGTATGCAAATCTACTACTAATTATTTCATTAACATATTTATTTAATAATAGTATTTAATAGTGTACTAACACAGTTTAATATATTATTTTATATTTATTTTATAAAAATTGCAAAAATAAATTTTTTAATATCTAATTAATTGATAATATATTACTGTTATGTTGAATAATAACATCAATTTTATGTATCAATTTTTATACGTTTTTTTCTGTTGCTATTTTTTAATATCAGTGTTATTTAAACTAATTACATAATATTTGTTAGCAATTTGTCATTCAGAACGCGATAAACCATTAATCTCATCTTGTGAACCGTCCAGTATCGTAATTAAAGAGTTATAGTGATCTCTGTACTTGTAATTATTACCCACATTCTCACCAATTGAAATGCAACGATAATATCAGCGCAGTACTGTGGATTACCGAACATTAAACGTACCTTATAAATTCACTGTAGCGATTATATCCGTGAAAAGCGTCATAACATACGCGATAAACCATAAGAAAAACGTTATAGCGGATATGTGAATTTATTGCGTTCGTGCACGTAATTACTTTTTAATATATTTTCGTCTCTTTATTATTTTGTCATTCTCAAAACTCGCAGAAAATGTTATCTTACCAACACAATGATAATTTAATGTTCTGTCTTCTATGTTTTTCCAGAAAATATTTTTAAATATAAAAAAAAAATTTTTTTCAAGAATTTACCTTTTATATTCTTCTAAATATCTCATAAAAGCTTGCGCTCATAAATTCGTTCATTCTACGAGAGATGCGCACAGAATTTTTCTTTTTATTGAGATTTTTACAAGAACTATATATACACATATTTCATATCACTCTTTGTCGAGTTACATGCTCCATTTGCAAGTTATTTTTTTCATTTTTCTACATTTTTAATATTCATATGTGTAAATTTCTCACATGGCTTCTATCCATGATTATATACTTGCAAACTTTTGATCAACTGGTGATAACATTGCAATAATGGATATATTGGTTCAAATATTTGGTAATAAAATAAATACCAATTTAATACCATTAATTAAAATAATCGTAAAGTATTATTTGATAGAAGCGATGCGAGAAATAAATTTTACAATACAAAAAAATAAATTTTAATAATATTTAATATTATTTTTAATATAAATAATAAAAAATAAAATAATATTAATCTAGCAATTGTAGAATAATATACTTGATAGAAATTGTACACTTTTACTATGTTTCAACAAAAAAGTAGCAGCAACAAATATGCAAAGAGAATTTTAATCAATTTCAGATATAAAGAAATGGATGAAATAAAAACATATACATACCTGTGCATTTGATGTAACGTAACGATGATTGTGCACCAACTTTTGTCGTGTTTCGGCGAGGAAGTTTCGGTATCAAATATGCGAATTTGAATCGATTCCAAGCACACAGAAATGGATCATAGATACTGAAATAATAACATTGATTGTCGTTATACATGATATAGCTAATATAAAATAATTACAAAATACTTTTTTTAAAAAACAATATAAATATATTATGATTAATAATAAGCATATAATAAATAATATCAATGTAGCTAATAATAAAATAAAAATAAAAATTTTAATCAATTTCAGGTATAAAGAAAAATGGATGAAATAAAAACATACCTAACGTTGATTGTGTACCAACTTTTGTCGCGTTTCACATCAAATATACGAAACGGATTTGAATCGATTTCAGATACACAGAGATAGATCGCTAATACTGAAATGATAGTATTGGTATATAATAGTTGTTGTGCACGATGTAACTAATATCGATGTTCACTAATGGTGTAACAGAAACATGTACATACCTAGCAATGAACATGCACCAAAATACTGTTGTTGCAATTCGACGAGAAAATAACGGCGTGAAATATATGAAAACAATTCGATCGATTTTTAGGTACACGCAGAGACAGATCGCGAATACTCTGAAAAAACAACATCGGTCTTTAGTAATGATAGTACGAGATATTTCAGTTTGCTATAAACCTTCGATACTTTACGAGAAACAGTAATAATCTCCGCAATAATCTCTCGCACGCGAGATTCACTGTTAGGTAGTAACAATCCCGAAAAATGTAGCGATATGAAAGCAATTTGATCATACTTTGAAATTATCGAACAACAAAATGACGGTTTTTAAAGTGATAATTCTAATGGACCAATCACAGTTCACATATAAGTGCATATCTTCATACTAATTGTATTTCCTATATTTAACATAAAATGAACCTAAATACATCGGCATTTTAAGAGAGAAAGAATTATAGAACAGAATAAATATACCTGGCGATGGTGATGCATCAATTTCATTGTTGTAACAATTCGGCAAAAAAAACCGAAAAAACAATGTGAACAAGTGAATAGGATTTCGATCAATTCTCTCCGGATATACGGAATCGGATTGTTGATACGAATATGACAATATTGACAACTGCAGGCGATGCTCGATACTGTTGCGACTAACGTCTGAAGCTTTATGGAAAACGCTCGATAATCTTTGACAGCGAAATTCACTTTTCGACGATAATAATTCTAACAAACGCGGACAATTCGAAATCCGTTACGATGCAATACACCCAGCCATGATCGAGACAGGTCTGAAAACATAACAAACAATCAGATGGTAAGAATGAATCTGAGATTACTTTTATGGTTCATTCACAACACCAAATGCATTGCAAAGAGAAGAATTGCATTTAGAGAATAAAACATAAAGACCGTACAGTTCTTTAAAAATAGGCAATATTAAAAAATATGCACTATTAATTTTAGAATTTACACGATATAATTAAGTAAGAATGCGTTATAAATGAGTAATATGAACGAGTAGCTAATAACAGCGCCTCTAACGGTAAAACCTGGAACTATGAAGAAACAAGCTTCAGGACTCGTCCCCTTCCACCGTTGTTCCCAATTCTTGTGCATAACCGTGACTATGGCGGCTGTTTTAATACTTTGAGTATCGTAAGATGATGATGCTAGATAGCAAAAATTGTAAAAGAAGATTGTGATAGAAATGATAAACACAGTTGTGAATAGTATTGTGATGGACTTTCACGTGTTAATGGTAATCGTGAGTATCTCTCGTCAAGTATCAAATATTCATCGTAAATATCACGGTTCTCTTCCGTGTGCTCGGAATCGATTGAAATTGTCTTTGCATATTTCACGCCGTTATTTTTGGAACGTCGTCGAAATGTAGAGAAAGTACTTTGATGCATGATCATCGCCAAGTATGTACTGTCTTCGTTGCCATTAGCAAACATTGATATTAGCTGCATCGTGCATAACTATTATTACACACCAATGCTATCATTTCAGTATCAACGATCCATCTCTGTCAATGATTTCTGTGTATCTGGAATCGATTCAAATCCCTTTCGCATTTGATATGGATACTTCCGCGCTGAAATGTGACAAAAGTTGGTGCACAATCGTCGTTAGGTATGTACATGTTTTTATTTTATTATTAACTGCATTAATATTATTCATTACATACTTATTATTGAAGATCTATTTATATTGCTTCTTTTAAGAATGATATATACTTGTTATATTGGTAGAATATTAACAGCAATTGACTACATCAATTTCCTCTTTATCTGAACTTGATAATAACGAAACCCAGAGCTTATTTTGTAATAATTTGCGATGAAGAAACTGGAGTAAACATCTTTGAATATGTTGCCTTAAAAAAATTAATTGCAGTTTATATAACCAGTATGTGCATAGCTAGTCACTCACAAATTAATGAATGATACATTATGATACTATGAATGATACATGATGATACTAATTATCAGTTGCATTCACAGATAAAAAGTAAACCATAATTAAGTATTTGCAACCATAATTAAGTATTGCAACTGTCGTACTTAGTATAATACATTATGAACTATTTCATAACTTATTTCAATATGAATAAGACAAGCATGAATAAGATAATAATATATCGTAAGATATTTTAGCTTTGGTAATATATTTAAAAAAACTTAAAAATTAATGCAAAGAATAGGTAAAATAAGTAAAATAAATATTTTAATAAATGAAAAATTATTTTATTAAAAAGATTTTAATACAGATATCTGTTATAATATAAAATACATGTTGTAATATACAATATTTGTTTGTTGCAAGATATAGAATCATATTTTGCATTCAGAATGCTGCATAATGTTGACCAATTAAATTACATAAGATGGCTTGAAAGATCAGATAGATTATACTATAATCTTTAATTACATGTCCAAATTTACAATTGAATAGTTTATTTCGTAATTTTCGATGGTATGTCAAAGCATAACACTTGATTATTTCCTTCTCGCAATGCATAACGTACGGTTACTGCAACCTATAAAGAGTAATAAATATTAATTACTACAGGAAAAAGCATTCATAAAAGAAATAAGTCTTATGCAATTAAATAATTGAACTGGTTTACAACTCGAACAATATGAAGCTATTTTAATCTATCCATTTATGTTATTACATATTTGTAATTATTATATATTATTATATATATACTACAAAAATGCAGAATTCTGCAATTCTTAGATCCACTTTAGACATTCTATAATTCAACAAAATTTGAGATAGAAATAATTTATATATTTATAATTTTATGTAATAAAAAATATTTGAAGATTTAGCATACACACATGCAACCTATATATGTGCCATTGATTATGAAAATGATCTAAGTAAAAAATTATTGATTTTATCATTTATTTTGTATTATATCGATCTATAAAGTCGAAATATCTCAAAATAAAAAAATCATCAAAATTTTTGACTTAGACTACTTTCATAATCAACGGTACATATATGCATATACAAAATATTTTATACATGTGTACATTCAAATTTTTCAAATATTTTCAATATTACATGAGACATATAAAATTATAAATAGAATGCTGTTTTGAATTTTATCGCAAATTATAAATTGTCCAAAATGCCTTTTAAGCTATAAAAAAGTTTGCAAAATTACCCTGGGATATATTGGCAATATAGGGAAACTATTCTTATAAACATATTCGACGCCTTCTCGCAACGGACATCCAACTTTTGTACCATCCTTATTGTAAATATTATCGCAGGCACTTGTTCCGTCGACTCCTATGAAGGGTAATGGTACATTGAAAATAACTCCGCTCACTGCATTGATCAAGTTCTCAATGGTTCTGCTCGGCACGATTTTGATCTCTATGGTAATAGTCGATCCTTGTTTTAATATACACACAGGTTGTTCACAGCCGGACACAGAGATCTGCGTAGAATCTTCATATGGCATGTCTAAAATCACAATTAGTATTAAATCAATGAAATTATTCTAACTACAATATTGTGCTTGTTATATATTTTTGCATAATAATACTTTTAAATTACTTCATTACGTATATTAATTAACTACGTAATAATTACATATATTAATATACTTAATTGGAAATTTCATTATTCTCTATTTATAGAAAGCAACTTAAAAAACAGGAATTAAAATAGTAATTCACAGCTTGTTCATTCAGAAGAAGAGATTTACTTATTAGAAAGAATTCTTTAAATCCAGAAGGTAGATCACCTTGAGATCTTTAATACTTGATCTCCTTCATCAAATCTTAAAGTAGAGTAAAAATGTGGTCAATGCAATCAGAAAGAATACGTTATAAAAGAAAACTATAAATTGGATATGCTTAAATAGATACTTTGTTATTTCATTTATCATATCGTCATATTCATAGTAATAAATATTAAATTAACAATTAGTTTTCTCTCTCTCTCTCTCTCTCTCTTTCTCTCTCTCTAATTTAATGAAATAATATACATTTAGAAAAATTAGACATTAATGTAACAATAAGTTCTATAAGTATCTATAATAAATTATGGAATTAGTATAACAGCGCAAAAATTAAAAACATTTTTGTAATAATTCAAACACTGAAAGTTTCACTTAAATGCGTTATACAGTAAAAATTATATAATAAATCGAAAAAGTTTAGTTCATAAAAAGTATTTAATAAAAAAAAATTTTTTTTTTTCTATTTTTTTTCTTATTGAAAGCTATAATATTGTCATCATTAAAAGTAAACGACTATTGGAGCAAAATTGCGTTGATTACACTGCAAATGTTAAGCAATTTTTTTTAAGCTTTGACATGAACGTAGCATGAATAAGCATATCTAAGATTCTAAAATATAATCAGGCAAAGTATACTTGATTTACAAGAAACGATTCTTAATAGTAGTATGAATGCTACTGCAATAAATATTTGCGCGAAGACATTTTATAATATTTCTAAATACAATTATTATTTATGTAATCTTTGTAATAATTCAAACACTGAAAGTTTCACTTAAATGCGTTATACGGTAAAAATTATATAATAAGTCGAAAAAGTTTAATTCATAAAAAGTATTATTTGATGAAAAAAAAATTGTTTTCTATTTTTTTTTATTAAAAGTGCGCATGTTGAAGTGAACGGCTATCGGAGCAAAATAGACTATAAAATGCACATAATATCACACTCAATGCCACATATTTTTTTACTAATCTTGATAAACTTCAACTGTAATTATAACGGTATTTATAAATCGGTTGGTTTTTAATCACGACGTTCTAACAAACATACACTCTATGTTCGTATATAATTCTTTTTACTGCTTTCAATTGCACAATTTTAGATAGACCGGTGAAGAAAGTAACGTTTAAAAACATGTACGAAACATAATATTTATTTATTACACCAAGTTTCCAATCCAGCATTGAAATTCTAACGATGAAACACGTCGGTCGTAAATTATTACTCACGTTAGTATTCCGCTCGTCACTTTCACCGCGTGTTAATTATGTTTCTCGTAAGTAATTATATGAGTATTAATAACAATATTGCAGCTCGTTGTCTCGTTCACATTGTACCTTCAATAATTAGTAGTCATTAAACGCATCGTGCATGATAACATTACGAGAACACTAATTATAGCATATACCATACCACGAGAGACAATCTTCGACATAATCGCTAACTGCTCATTCGTTCATCTTGCGTGATAATTCACTATGATCTCGACATCTAATAATTTCTAAAGAATAATCGTGCCCGAGCAATTTGTCATACAATGGCGGGCGTATATTTGTGACGACGTAACGTAGCTTGAGAAAATTTAGCAAGAAAAAATTGATACGCCAAACAATACATACGTGGGAAAAAAATCATGTTGCGCAGTCTTTTGCTTGCAAGAGATTTTAAAAATATTTTGTCAAGTTTGCCAGTATTTTATGAAACGTACTAATAAAATGATCAAAGACAATCGAACATAGATCAAGTCATATGCTAATAAAAAATTTCAACGTTTAAGTAAAGCTTGTATAGAGAGAGAGAGAGAGAGAGAGAGAGAGAGAGATGCACAGGTGTTATTTGATATAACGAAATGTAGAATCAGGATTATATAACGACAAAACATATGATGTTTCTTAAACTACACAATGTTTATCTTTAATAACATTTAAAATTTTTTGAGAATAAGGTATAAAAAACTTTTGTTAAAGTTTATGTCTTGCAAATTTAAGAATTATAACTCAGAAAGAAAATATTTGCAGATTTGTGACATTGTTTCATCATTATGATTAGTTAAATACATTGGTAAAATATGACCAGATATTTGAAGAATATCTTGTACGATGTATTGGAATGTAACGCTGAGAAAGTTTCACAAAAAAACATTCAATAATAACGGAACCTGACATTGTCGACAAGAATACAGACATTAATGATAACTCCATCGTTAGCACTTAACTATATCAGTAGATTTCCTCAAAAAATTCTTACAATTTTTCATAAAAAAGAAATATTTACACAAAAAATACACAAAACACTTTATCAAAAGAAAATTTTCTCTTACATATTTGAAATATATTTAACGATTTTCCTGTTGAGTGCCAAATTATAGTTTAATAAGTTTCTATTTATTATATTTTTCACTATACATTGAATAATGCTATATGAAAATAAATCGCAAACTAATGGAATGCTGAATTTTAATTGATATTCAATCAAGGAAAACTACACTATGAAAACGATTAAAACTAGCAATATTTGAATTATAAAATACAAGGTAATATTTTCCATTTTTTAAATAATTGAAAAAAATTATTAAACCGAAAACATAAAAATCTTTAACACAAACTTTATCAAAAACTGGTATATTTGCTGGGTTAATATATTTTTACATATTTTGTATTTTACGTACCTGTTTCACACTGATTAACTATAGTTGCTCCAGTCAACGCGAGAACTGCTGTAAAAACGAAAATTGCTTCCCTCAGCATCTTGGTGAAAGTGTTTCGTACTGCTTAAAGAATCTTGTCAGTGCTATGCCTATTGGTCCAATCAGACTCAAGTTCAACTCTCGACTGACGGGTCGAGTGACGACTGCGACTGGCGGTACCGTACCGCAGCTCACCTGCTTAAATAGACTAGAGTAGAAGGAAGGGAGTAACAAAACAAAGCCTCAAAGTCCGAACGATAGTATTCACGCATTAATTTCAATTTAATAAAACACTCACGTATCAAGATTTTTCTACTAATTGCAACTTGTGTGATATCTTGAGATATGATAATCGATGTAATAATAAAGAGAGAAAATTAGCTATTCTTGTAAAAAGATATAATAAAGGAATTAAAAATAAATTAGAAAAATATTAACGTTGGAATAAAACGCGTTGAACAAATATTAATCGAATATTAAGAACTATTAAAATTATTATAGTGAATATGTTTCTAGAACATTGTTGATAAAAATATATCAATACACGTAAAAATCTTCAAATAATCTTGTTTTTTACATATTACTACTTATTACTATTAATTTTAATTACATTACTTTTAATTATCATATTTTACTTTTATTTTGAGTTAGTTTGCTTATTTATTTATTTATTTGATTTATATATTTTTTACTTTATTTTAAAACATTTTATCAAGATTATATAGAATAAGTTTAAGTGTTAATTCACTTAAATTTCATATAACTAGTTCTGATGAGATCGCCAAGGTAAACGCGAAAATTCAAGGTGAGGTCAATAATACGCGTATGATATGTTTGCTTTGTATTTACATGGGAATAATAGACCTTCAAGTTTAATATTTGATATCCGTTAAAAATCGTGTCAGAAACACGCGAGCATATCTAGTAAATCTAGTAAAATTTGTAGAAAATATTATCCTGTTTCTTTTGTTAGGAAAGTTGCTTTAACGTAAATTAAAATGCAGCGTCCCCGATATGAATAAATTTATATGAATATTCAATAAATCAACTCTATCGGTTGTAACATTTACTTTTAATTTTTATTAATTTTAACAGTCATATGTCGTTATATTCTTATTATATAGATGATCGAATAATTACGAAAATACTAGCACGAAATTTGTATATGTTTTTTGTTTATAAGTATTAGAAGAGTTTTAATTACTATTTAAATACATCGTAATAGCAGTAGAAAAACCACTTTTTTAATCTTAATCAATCTGCAGCAATCTTACTCATTTTTCGAGCTCAAAACGTTCAAATCGTACAGCTAATTATAAATTAAAAAATTTATATTCTACATGTTTTAATTTTAACTTTAAAATATTATAAATAAATATAAGCACACTGATATGTTGCGATAAACATTATTAAAATGCATTAAATAAGGAACATAAGTCAACTATTTTTTAAATTTCAGAATTTTTCAACATTTTATCAAAGATATCTTTTAACATTGTTGAAACAAAATTGTGTGCTATAGAGATATAATGCTGTATAGAGCAATATTTATTAAAATTTCATTCAAAACACTTTGAAGAACCGAAGTTTTGCGTATCAATGATTGAAAATTATGATTTTAAAGTTGATCGTCCTTTTTAATAAATATCTATGATAAATAATTCAACAGTTTCATCAAATACGCACGAAAGTCCCGTGCTTTAATCGGAACTCGCAGTAGCCGCTCTTTATAATGTTTGATTCTTCCTTTTTTCTGTCTTCATTTCGTTTACCTCAGCACAACGAAACGGAAATGAAACGGACCACCATGGTCACAAGAACAAAGCACCGGAAATTAAGAATCTCTGTCCACTATCTCGTACTTCTCTGTTTCTCTTTTTCTTTCTCTTTTTCTTTATCGTTCTCTTCATTCAGCTTTGGGATCTTTTGTACAGACGAGTCTTCTTACTTTTAACAGTAAACGGGAATTTTGATTAATGTTCGTAAACCGTGCATTCTTGAAATTATTACAGTCGCGTCGACATCATATCGAACGATGTATCTCGTTGGAACTCGGTGCGCATACGAAACAGGAGAGCCCGACGTACTTAAATCGCGTGACCGAGCTCGTACCATGCTTTGTCAATTTTACATTTAATAATTGGACAGTAGCAATAACCGCGGCGTCTCTGTGATACTGGCATATGTAAGGAAAATAATTATAATCACAATCTAGGTGTGGTCAGAAATTGTTGGTCAAGCTGTTTATGTTTTGTTCATTTGGAATTACCATATTTAAATGTGCATTGACTTTATAATATTTCTTGGAAAATCGTTCCAGAAATACAATTATATTGAATATATACATACGATGTATGCTTTGATAAGTAAAAAGTGTTTTCAAGCTCATTAAGCAATTTACAACTTGTTTTGCACATTGTACGAGATTGAAAAAACGTTGAATTTTACGTGAGACGTTACCGCGAATTACCTTGTCAAACCAGCAGAGTGATCAGGTGAGTCAGAGAAGTGAGTTATGAAACTTTTTTGGAATCACTTCTGCGTGACGATAAACGTGCTCGTCTCTTCTTGTCGATCAAAAGTCAGTAAACGAATACGCAATCCGCTTTGTTGTAACATGCAACTACTTAGTTTTGCTTAATTACTTTTGAAACAAAGTACACTATATTTGTTTTATGAATATCTTAAAAGAGAGGGATTTGTTCTGAAGATAGTTTTGTCCTACACGTCGTTTTTCATAGATCGCTTTAATTGTAAAAAAATTAATTATAGGTAATATTTGTACTGACTGCACATGAAGAAAGAAATAACGAATACTTCATTATGTTGCAAATTAAAACTGTGATCTAAAACTTATTTTGCTGATGAAGGTGGAAGAAATACATTCAGATTTTCAAATGCGGATATCGTAAACGAAGGTCATGTTTTGTGTTAACGGAAGAAGATGCGTATTGTACATTCGCGACGTATAACGGGTGCAATGGTTAAAGTAGAAACTCAAAAAGAATATTAATTACTCTTGCGGCAGTAACCTTGAAAAAAGAATTCCGAGCAACTGTTTTTATCGATCTGGAATATCTTATCTCACAATTTGTTAATCACACATTTTTCAGGATACGTTTAATTTGAAACTTGTTATCGTAATTTCATATTTTTACTGCTAAATATTTAGCAGATTAATTAACATTAATGTTAAATATGAAATCTCAAGACTAATTTACCGCTAATAATTAAGTTTGTATTCGAAAATGTCAAAATTAATTTAATTAAAAATAATTAAATTTAAAAAATTTATTATTTATCATCAAATATTACATTTTGCATTCTAACAAGCAAGATTTTTACTTTATTTTATTTTATTATTGAATTATTATATGTGCCAAGTGGTTTTAGTAAGTTATTTTACCTCATATACGTAATTATCATAAATATACACCTTTGTCAGACAGTATATTATTGCAGACATTATACCTGTTAGTTTTCTAGTTCTAATTAGCCAAATGATTAATTGCAATAGTAGTTTGTATTACTTCGCACATTTTATAGTCTATTCGAGTATTTTGATCAATTATCGCTAACATAATTGCGAAGAGGCAACACATGCATAATAGCAAGATTATGAAACTATTGATCGGTAAAAAAACATAATTTCGAAATGCTGACGTCAATAATTTGCCGTGTTTGACTTATATCTATTTTATACTTGCTTAAAATATTTAGCCTAATTATTAATATGACATTTGATTAATAATATTTTAATTGATCCTCGCATTTCATAATACACTTTTAATTCTAAAAAAATTTTTGATTGAATCTAATCTTCGATTAGCTTACGTAAAATGATTATAAAAACTAATATCTACGTGAACATGTGTCATAATTGATTTTCTCGTTTATCATAATTCTTGTATAAGGAGTAATATACAATTCACGTTAGGCACAAGATCAAGAACAGGATCTTGTGCTATCGATTATAGGTATATTATAAAAGAGTATTTGAGAAATATACGAAAGTAAGCTCGATTTGTACTAAATACAAGCATATTTTTATTTTCATATATTTTAATCATGTATGAAACATGAAATATGTACAAATGCAATGCTATTTGCTACGAGAACAATATAAAGTAATATGAATACATCTTAAAATTTAAATTTTTAAGTATTTACAGCCAAATCAAAATTGGAGGTAAAATATTATATTGATTCAGTTATTTATGAACATATTGTAGATGTGTCATAAATGCGCACAATATGATAATTGTTTAAGTAAGTAAAAAGTGCCTTTTCACATTTTGAATCGACACGATATATTGTATATTACACAGCCTAAAATAATGCTTTGACATACATTTTGTTTTAAATTTATAACATTAAAATTAGATATTTGAATTTTGATATTTGAATGAAAATTGTCTAATCACATACTATGACGACATTGTAGTTTTATAATGTACTTTGTTACTGCACTTTTTATTGTACTATTTACTGCACTTTTTTAATACATGGCAGAATTTGTACATATGTATGTACATGTATAAATCAACGTGTTTTCTTTTTAAAGCATTGAGGAAATCTTGAGTTACATCTTTTAAATAGTCAGCGTTACGCGGCGTTGTTATCAGACAAAAAAATAATATATATAACGCATACGATAGAGGATGAATTTCAAGATTATTATCAAGATTTTTAATGAATTTTTTATCAAGATAATTAATGCATGTACAACTTTATACATTGCGGACTGGAGACGTAAATACATGTATTTTGTTTTTGTAGCATTGAAAACAGGAAACATTTACGTCTTTTAAATAATCTTTCGCGGCAAAATAATTAACAAGACGCAAGAAAAAAACTTTTATGCAATTAATATTATACGGTCTACAATGTGTTAAATAAAAAACATGACATACACAACAATAGAAATTCCACATCATATCTGTTAAATCTTGTAGCATTAGTAACTGTGAACGTAAAAGACAATTACAATTATTAATAGGATTCTTTTTTTTAACTTGCAGTGACACAAAGAAATTCCGGTATAAATTATAAAGTCATATTATGCATCGAGAATTGTATATGAAGTGATTTTTTATAATCCTGCCGTTTTTCCTTGTCGCCGATAGTCTGAGTTTGCGGTTATAAGATTATTTTCTTTGGATACCGCCGTAATTGCACTGCCAATTCCAGAGAAAGTGGTAACGTTGTGTCCGATCTTGCTCAAGTAATTTAACGTGGCTTGGCAGAAACCGTTCTCGTTCTGCACGTTCATGGGTAGCAGCTGTAATTTTTTAATGATTACTTAGAAACACGATCATTAATCATAGTACGCACGATGTTCTACATACAGCACGTAATAAAAAGTGATATTCTCCGTTTAATGCAATATAGAAATTGCTTTTCTTATTACCATTTCTTATTTCGAGAACTAAAATAATTTTTTTTTTCCAGAAAAATATCGAATTTTTGCCTTGTAAATTAAATAAGAAAGATTTTCTGCAAACTACGCTTAAACTTAGAATTGCGCTTAAAATTGCATAAATAATGTAACTTTATTTCCGGTTAATTTTAAATAGATTTTTAGAACTTTACCAGAGAATCCTCGAAGTATAATTATTAAAACATTTATCATTAGAATTTTAAGAAACGTAAAAAGTTTATGAGATTCATATTCAAAAACCAATTAAGTAATTATTGAATTAAGGATCACTAATTATAATATGATGTCAGATCGGAACTGGCTGTTCGTACATACGCTAATATTTTTGGAACTTACTTGATGATGAAGCCTGTAGGCGTCAATCGCTTCTTTTATGTTATAATCGTACCAAAGATTAAGAATCATTGCAATCGCCACGCCGCTCGTGATCTTCGTACCGCCAGCAGCACCTATGACTAATCTCACATTGTTGTCTTGATCGACCTATGAAAGAGATTGCATAATTGATTTAAATATTAGTACAAAATAACTTATATATTTATCTATCTCTTCTCTCTAAAAAAATCGATTTTTTAAAAACTTTTAAAGAATATCTATTTCACTTTTTGAATTATCTGTTCCATCAAATTGTACGTGAAAAACATTAGATTCCAAGCATGAGACATGAACAATTAACGTGAGAAATCGTTTTAATGATCGCGTGTATTGTAAATTGTCATTACATCATTGAGTTGAGCGAGTCTCGGAATTGATAGACACATGATTGTTATTACGATTAATTACAATCTTACTGCAACTATATTATTAGACCTTGATAATGTAATGCAATGTCTATTTTTAAGCCATTCCGCGAGTTTCCGAGCTTTTGATGAATTTGTTCACGTTGCGATAAAATTGCTTACCACTATAGCCGGACTCATCGAGCTCAACGGCCGCTTGCCGGGCCGAATAAAATTCGCTGGTGACGGCGGGAGTTCAAAGCCGTTGGTTATATTGGGTGAGCTAAAGTCGTCCATCTCATCGTTAAATATTATACCGGTGGATTTCGAGCGTATCATCGCGCCGAACCTATTAAATAAAGATGCTTGTAAAGAGGCGAAACGTCGTGCTTTATACCGGCTGGATTACCGGTAGATTTCTCCGCGCGACTGAATCGTTCCGTTTTTAGAGTAGATATAAACTGCACATTGAACGGAAACATTGAATATGTGAGGCAATTCAATCGGTTTTTCTCCTCAATTTTTAACGTGTCTCTATATCGTATAATCTATAGCGCAGCTATAAAGCGCAACTCGCGCGAAAATATAGAAGATGTTGAAAATTGAACTTTTTTAAAATGATGATAAGCGCAAGTATTTACATCCCTTTGAATTGAAAAATAAATATTTAGCTTTGCAAATAATTTGCAATTTAGTTCAAATACTTTTGCGAATAATTCACTTACACTTGATTAATGGTCGATGTAACGGAAACTGCGGAACCGTCAGGTGCAAGAACGGAAACATGTGAAGTTCCTGCATCCACGATTGTTGCAGTAACAGCACCATATTCTTCCGGATCGTTACTTGTGCGGTTATCTTTTATCCTTTCCTTTATCACTTCCGCATAATCGTTGGACGTTAAATTAGCGAGCACTTTGTCTGCAAAGAAATAATTCTATAGCATTGAACGCTCACAATTGGCAGAATTCGAACAAATTACGTGTATAAGAAGATTGCAGAAAAATATATGAATTGGCGACTATTGTGTACATTCAGCAATTCTCAGAAACGTGTTAAATCGCGATGACATTGTAAATTTATCTCTTTTTTTTTATTAAATTACCAGTTTGTACGTTACTGCTAAGAAAAAATGCCTTCTTTTAAAAGAGATTAAGATTGTAAAAAAATTAATTAAAATACGTATTCTGCCAATGTAATTTTTATACTAGAATGAATGCGTTAACATTGTATTTTGTCATAATATAACATAATATTTCAGGTTTAAAAAATTATAATTTTTAATAATGTTATGTTAATCACTAAACTATTTCTAATCATTTTTAGATAACTCCATTCACTTTAGATTTTGCACTCGATTACTCGATGTTTCTTAAATAGACTAATCTTATCGACTATATTTAATGGTTTTCAAAATATGTTATCAAATCACACTTTAAGATTCTATACATTATGAAATCATAATCGTACCTATATCCTCGACGAAGTCAGGATCTCCCAATTCGGTTCTTCTTGCGTAAGCCCATTTGAATGTCTCCACTGTACGCTGCCACATCACATTCTCATTATCGATCGGTAGAAGTCGATGAAGAACATTCATCATGAACGTCAAAATTGCTCCCGAACCTGGCGGCGGAGCACTGTAAACCTTCAGGTTCCCCATTTTTAATTCGATCGGCTTTCTCCATATTGCTCTGTATAGAATTTGCATTATCAATGTAAATGCGTCATAACTTCCGCTTGCATAAACTGACGTTTTGGATCAAATCAATATTTTACATTTGTTATCAACAAGTGATTAAAAATAATTTACAAAGATAAAGAAAATCAGTCAATGAAAGAACAGTTCTATGTTTATTCCTATATAAATTATTATGTAAAAATAAATACTGTTTAATATTTTTATTTGATAACACAGTTTTACAAAAAAAATAGCTTTTTCATGCACAAGAATACAAGGTATCATTTCTTATAGCTCTTTTGATGCGATATATGATACTGATTTTAAGAATGCTTCAGTTTTTTTTAATAAAGTATATTAATTAGAGAACTCTCAAAAGGAATTTTTTGTTTACGTTATAATTAATAAGATTTAATGATTAAATATTGAGTCTATTAAATTATAATCTGATAATTACCAGGATGTGAGAGAATTGTTAGAGTCTATAGGCATCGTGTTTATTATAAAAACTATTATAAAACTTTTTTTTGTCAAACTGTGTAATTGTTGCGATAATAATTATCGATGTTATCTTACAACTGCTCTTTTATGTTCTTATCCTCTTAAATCGATAGATTATAAACAATAAAATCTGATGTAATTTCGACAAATAAATTGATATTTATTTGCTACGTTTAACTAATTCTTTCATTAACTAATTCTTTCATACAGGAATCACAGGAATATAAAATTATCATTTATGAACTACATTTTCCCTTAATGGCATCGATTAATATAACTCGTGTCTTTTTTACCCTTTTTTTAGCTATAACTTATCGTAACTCTCATTCGTGCTATCATAAAACTCTAAGTTCGTAAAAAGGATCATAAATTTGTAATTGTCTTTAGTCTATCTTTTTTGTAAATAATGACCGTTACACTTTGCGAATATCCCTGTGAGCCTGATATATGCATGAAAATATTGGAAAACTCGAAAATAGGAAAATGAAAAAAGGAACACTTACTTATAATTTTCAAAATCCTGTTTTGTGATAATCCCATTAAATTGTCTTATCTCTTCAATCAATTGATCAGCCATACTACCTTTGTAAAATATGTCAACACCCTTATCAGCTATCAGTCTCAATGTATTTGCCAGTTGTTTTCTTTTTATTCTATCTCCTGCCTATAAATGATTTTTATTGCACAAATTTATTTCTATGAAAAATATCAGATAAGAATCAAATTGACTTGACTTGGAATTGTAAAATAAAAAAGCTCTAAAATAAATCTAGACTTTACTCACAATCCACGTTCTATTTGTAGCAGGATTTATGAGTATTTCCGCCAAACTGCTCTCGTTCTTTATCATAGGCTCTTTGTTAAGCAGATACGCAGCGAGATAATTATTGACGAAAGATCCAACTTCGCATAATTCAATAGCAGGCTTAAATAATTCAGACCATGGCAAGTTTCCATATTTTTTGTGCGCTTCCCAATAGCCCATAAGTTCGCCTGGGACAGCAATTGCCAGTCCACCTGTTCGATAACATATAGATCTCATTTGTATAAAAATCTTGGAACTCATTTTTTGCAATAATGATTAAGCATTTTATAATTAATCTTGTTTTATCCCGATAGTAACAACGACAATAACTTTTACAAGCTGTTTTAGCATAAATATACAAAAATATTTGTCAGTAAATTTTAGTGTGGAAAAATCCTACCATACATGGCTAGATGAGCGTTGCCGTCGAACATATCTTCGGTCGCGGCCAAGGGAGCAGTCTCTCTTGCGTCCAAATAATCCGCTTTTTTGTTTTTTGCGTCCCATATTGTCATGAAAAATCCGCCACCCAATCCCATGCTTTAAATCAAAATGTAAAAATATGCTCAATGTATATTTTAATCGCAAAATAAAAATGGCCAATTTTTATTAAAGTGAAAAGCGCCTTCCGCCAGATAAAAAAAAACAGAAAATTGTAGGAAAAAATGTACCTGTGCAAAGATGCAACACCTTCGCAAAGAAGTGCTGCTATTGCCGCATCTACTGCCGAACCGCCCTTAACTAAAATATTGGCACCAATTTCTGCACATTCCTGGCCGCATGTCGATACGCCACCCTATTCATAGATATTTTAATTAATTAATTAATTATAAAAATTTGTCAGAAATTATACATCAGGCTCTATTTTTTAATACTTTTTTAAATAAAACTATGGGAACAATTGCGAAAATATAACGAATCTTTATTGCAAATTAAATTAACTTTTTTTATTTAATAAGTATTACCTTTTTATAGCGGCCCAATTCAGAAGGACTGCGGAATTTTGAACCGCAATTAACGAGTTGCGCATCTTTCAACTTGCGTGTGACAAAAATTATTATTATTGTCACGAAAACGGCCACAAGTACAGTTGCAGTAACACCGAATATAACTAATTTTTTCCTATGTCTATATCTGCACAAAACACGTAAAAATATATGAATGTTAAACATTGAGTTTTTAACGATTAAAAATTAATCTAATTGAAATCATTGTAATCGTTTTATAGAAATAAATTTTGTATAGAAAGTTGTGGTTAAATATCATGACGGTCATTAGTAAAGTCATTAGTAAAGCGTAAAATTTCTGACTTTAGACAGTGCAAACATTATCTTCTAATTAAATTCATATTATAAACATTTTTGTACATGTGATATCAAAAATTAAAATTGTAAGGAAGTCAACTAAATGTACTACAAATTTTAAATTAAATTAACAAAAGATAAAACAAAAATATTCTTTAAATTAGAAAAACAAATCACGTACTTAAACATTATTGGATGTCTTTTTGTTGGAAGCGCAAAAGTGTTCTCGAATACATATGTTAGTTTGCGGATTATCGACGTTACACATCATGTCACTTTGTTAACTGTCGCGACGGAAGGACAATTGTTATTTAGAAAGTGATAAGTAGGATATAAACAGATCTCGTACTTAAAGCTGCGTATTTATATGATTGTATATCATGATTGTGAGCATTTATCTCGAATGAGCGCCGGATTAATGCTTATTCGGGTCTCGTTTGTAGATTCACACAGAGTCCGCATGAACACTGAGCTATTTATCAGTTCGCATTTGTAATAAGCACTACAATTGTTAGAACGAGGATCATGCGAACTGATAAATAGCTCAGTGTTCATGCAGACTCTGTGTGAATCTACAAACGAGACCCAAATAAGCATTAATCCGTGCGGCGCTCATTCGAGATAAATGCTCACAATCATGATATCATCTCAAAAATAATTCTTTTGTTAAAAGACAGCCTATCATCTGATACATATATTTTTTTATAAAAAAATATACGATTTATATCAAATTGCTACGTGATTAATGAAAGATATTAACTGAAAAATAGTAATCATAAAAATCAGTGGCACTTGAAGCTTCTACCGGTTCACATCGCGTGGCCTTGATTACGTTCTAATGGTTTGCCATGACCGCATTTACACCTGCATCACTGTTACAGAGATTTGTCAGCAATGGTAAAATACGATTATGATAACGTGAACAGATTTATAGATTTAAAGAAACATTATAATACTATGTACTACACTACTATACATACTATAATCATACAGTTTATTTAATAGCGTAAAACATAAAGCACTAATTTTATGAAAAACTAAAACTTTGAACAAGTTATAAATCAAAATATTATACTGAAATTAATATCAATTAATATTAAATTACAATCATTAATACTTTATGCTAATTTAAATTAAATCAAAAATTTTTAAAAACAAACAAAAAACAAGTAAATCAAAAATTTTTTTTATAGATTCTTCGATTAATAACTGATTAACATTTATGATTGATAAGACATGTCATTATCTAAACGTCTATATAATTAAAGATATGTAGATATGTATTAGATATGTAGAAAAAAATTGAAAGATACGAATGTGCTTGCCGCCTGGCTGTGACTATCACCTTCATTGCCGGCTTTGAATCAAGAACGTGGTCCAGCTATCATCATGTAATCACGGATTTACACATGCACGCGACATTTACTATGCAATTTGCTGAGATTGCGTAACACTGTGCATTCAATACATCTGCACAAATTTAAGCGTTTAGTTGGTGCAAATATAACTTTATCAGTTTTGTGATGCATGACTTTCAAAATATAATTCTGAAACGACAAAAGAATAACAAAAATAAGCATTTATGATTGATTAATTTTTGCGAGATTCGCGAGATTTATTTAATCGAGGCGCATTAATTTTACTCATGCAGAAAAATAATCAACATATAAATATATCTAGATAATTTATGAACTTCTTACATCTAATATCAAGTGTTCAAAATATACAATACACAGAAATGACGTAATAAATTAATATAATATTTACATTTTGTTTAGATAATCGAGGAAATAGCGGCTTGTCGCGATTTTATCAGTCAGAATCAGATGTGAATTAATTATCTCATATTATCGGGCAACACACACTAGCATACTGAAGTAGAATTATTCTTTTAGATACGCATGATTTATAGCAATATTACGCATTAATGCCGAAATGAATATATTTGTTGTGACATTCTATGTGTGTTGACGCATTAATGAGTTTCCGACAGATTGTTTCGAAGAACATACAAAACTTTTCCATTAGTCAGGTATTTTATTTTTACGATTTTAATTTGTCTTGTTTAATTATTAGTATAATTACAGGTGTTATAATTTAAGTTACATGTCAGCTACATTCATCTACTTCTGTTTTCTTAATCATGATTCCACTTAATACACTTTAGAGGTAATGCAACATAAATAAAGCAATGATAAATTATTAATAATAATATTGAACAATTTAATTTATTTAATAATATATATAATTTATATTATAATTATTAATTATAATACTTTAACTTTTTAATATATAATTTTTCTGTTAAATGTTAATTTTTGACAGAATTTGCTATTAACGTGCGAATTTAATAATAATAAAGAATTTGAAGATGTTCTTGAAAGAATCCTCGTTTAAAATCTTATTTTTTTTGTATTCGTTCTTTGTGCAAAGAAATTTGCTATTTCATATGGCACTATCTACGTAAATAAGTAATAGCTGCAATTTTATCTACAACTAGTCGCCAGTTAAATGGTTTTGCAATTATAATATTGATTATATCGTTATTAGCGTGTATTGTTAGACGGAATATAACAAGCCAATACGTATTGTCACCAACCACGACTCATAGTTAAAACAAAAGCCACTTTTAGTAAAAACACTCTTTTAATATTTCCGTTTCATTTATTCTATTTAAAGTATTGCTGGTTCTCGCACATTTGTGTGCACGTAATGATTAAATTTCTACACATGTCAACATATAGTACATTAATTGTATGTGATTACGCTATTACTAATCACTCGAGTATCGAACAATCTTATCCTTCGCCTTTTAATTTATAATACGGAAGATAATCTTTTACTATATCTTTTAATTAAAAAACGGATAACATAGTTATCTTTAATGTGAAATGTACGAATAAGTGAAATTTTATCATTTTAAACTCTTAAATTTTTTAATTTGCGATAATTTCGAGCTATTCAACAAAAATTTCTTGTACAAATGAATGTATTTAGCTCTTAGGCACTATGATAGCTCTAATCATAGTATTAAAGTATTAGTTTACTGCTGCCATATTCGGGCATTGCTCCAAATGCTTATTCTTATATATTTTATTTGTGTGTTATTTATTTTTAATATATTAATTGATAAATGCAATAACACATAATTATGTACTCGACCACATATTATAAACATTAAACGAATGAATTATTTTGAAATACCGGATGAGCACATTATCACAAATCACAAGTATGCCGCAACACACATATTTGCACTGTTTAAATATCACAAATTTTGCAAATCATAAAAATAAAACATTCTCACAGTGTTAATAATCACATATAAAAGTAATTTAATTAGTAATTTAATAGCTATGTTTTAGCATCTATTGCACATTAAAATTTGCGTATGCTTTTTATTAATTGACCAATTTTTCCAGAATGTTATCCCAATGTAAAATTGCGCAAAAATCCTTGACGCATTTTTGCTTGCTACCTGCGTACATGCGCGAACAGCTGCGAAACAATAAAAAAAGAAAGTATACGTACCCGATCATGTTGTACAGGCGAATGTAACTCAACGAGCGTAACAGAGCGACCAGCCTTGACTAAACGTTTCTATCACGTTCGTTTCTCTTATAAGAACATACCGTGTTTCTATTCATCCCCACCAGCACGCTTAAAAATTCCAGAGGCCAAAACGGAAGTGTGTTATTTATATATTGTATTTTTTCTTTTATTTTTACGCTTCTTGTTTTCTCATTCTTCTTGCTTTTTAGCAATTTTTGAGGACATTAATTTTGAATAAAATTTAGTAATTTTATTAAAAATTAATGTCAACCAATTTGGAAATAGAGTATAACAATCATGCAATGTAGTTGTATATTTATAATTAATCTTGAAAAAATATAACGAATTAAATACGGCTGCTTTATTTTTATCAACGTGAAAATTACGTGAATAATCAACGTGAATATAAAAGTGGAAATAAAATATAGCTGCATTTAATTTTTTATCATATTTAATGCCTAACGTTGAAAAAATATAATAAATATATTGTTAATTTTTAATGAAATAAACATAAAAAACGCTCATATTAACTTGGAATTTTTATTTTTCAGCAAATGGATTTTTCTTTGACAGGAAAAACCCAAAAGATGACACAAAACAGTAAATCACAGGAAAGTACAGGAATATCCACTAATAATTTTTATTATTCCTGTAACAATTTTCTTTAGAAAAAATATATTCTTTTTATATTTTATAGATTAGATTTATCACATGAACTCTATAACTATAAATATCATATATGTATAAATATTGCATACATTATTGCAAGAACACATCGTAATAAATAATACTCATCTACACAGTGATAAGTGCAAAATAAATGCAAAATTAAAAGAAAAATTTTTTACAATATTATCGCTGAAGTATGAGACATGTAATATATTGAAATAAGTAAATATTGAATATAAATCAATAAATTGGAATATTGATATTTTACATCCAAATATTAAAGTAACGTTTATTGTCAATATTATTACTGTATATTTACACTGAATATCCTATCTTTGCTTTACATATGTATATATATTATATGCAGTAGTATTAAATCATAAAAAGTTATATTGCATAAATAATCGCAACAAACCAATTAACACAAAATGATTTGCTGTGATCGTTTCATGAAAACCGATCCGACGAACATGCTGCCAGCTGCTCTAGGGAATTGCGTCGTCATGTTCATGTCTGCGCGCCGCAACGAAGCGGTGAAGTTAGCTGACTGCTTGGAAAACGGCGAAGTCATTTCCAACCTTTTGCAAAACAGTGAATATTTTGAACAACCGAAACAATGTCGGCAAGATACGATAGAGCGATCACGGTATTTTCTCCAGATGGGCATCTGCTTCAAGTGGAATATGCTCAGGAAGCTGTCAAGAAAGGCTCAACAGCGGTATACTCAATAGTTTGACATAACCTACTTTTTCTCCAAAAATTGTTTTCAAAAATTTTACTTAGTCCTCTGATTCTCTATTAATTTGAATTGTTTTTGTTATTATATAAATAAATTTTATGTATAATTTAATTGTTTTATTCATCTGTTTTGCGAATGACTCTGCGAATTCTTTGAGTCAGGTTAGAACAGTCACTTGCATCGTTTTATTATTATCATTATTACATTCTGGCATTTCATATTGTAATATTTGATCTTAAAAGAAAAACAATTTACATTTATATTGTTTTTAAATTATAAAATTTAAAATAATTATAGTCACACACATAAGTTTTTAAATAAAATTAATATTAATTTTTTAATTAGTATTAATTTTGTTTTATTTAGATGCATTGTAATTTTTATGTACGAACAGGTTGGTGTGCGTGGCGCCGACGTAGTAGTTTTAGGCGTTGAGAAGAAATCTGTCGCTAAATTGCAAGAAGAACGTACAGTGCGCAAAATATGTCTTTTGGATGATCACGTAATAATGGCTTTTGCAGGTATTACATACAATATTTATAAAGATGTATATATATTATTTTAGTTTAGTTTATTATATAAAAGATACAATTACTATCCTTTTCAACAGGTTTGACTGCTGATGCAAGAGTATTAATCAACCGTGCACAAGTTGAATGTCAGAGTCACAAGTTAACTGTAGAAGATCCTGTTACTTTAGAATACATTACGAGGTATATTGCAGGTATGTCCAACATCTACAGATACTTCCGATTAGTAAAAAAGTTAAAATTACTTAAAATAAATCTATTCCCATATCATTTTCAGGATTAAAGCAAAAGTATACACAGAGCAATGGCCGTAGACCTTTTGGTATATCCTGCCTCTTAGCAGGATTTGATTATGATGGTTCACCACATTTATATCAAACAGAACCGTCAGGAATTTATTATGAATGGAAGGTATGTTCATAACATTGATTTCACAATCTTCTGTTTAATAAAAATTGAATTTAATAAATCAATTTATATAAATTTCCAAAGGCAAACGCAACAGGTCGTAGCGCTAAAACTGTACATGAGTTTTTGGAGAAATATTATACTACAGAAGAAGTTTCGACAGAAAGGGGTTGTATAAAATTAGCGATCAGAGCGCTACTCGAAGTTGTCCAGTCTGGACAAAAAAATCTGGAAATAGCTGTAATGCGACGTGGGCAACCACTGCAGGTATGTTTGTAATTTTTATCAAATTATACAGTTTTAATTAATTTTGATTTAAAATATATGTTCATTTTTGACAAAACATAGATGTATAATAATGAAAATAATGTATTTTTTTATGATACAGATGTTAGACACAGACACCATAGGTGAATATGTAACAGAAATCGAAAAGGAGAAAGAAGCAGAAGCGGAAAAGAAAAAACAGAAAAAGTGATGCCTTTGTACCCCATTGTGCATTTCTCTATCATTATTAATTTTTCTTATAAAATAAATATGCTACAAATAGGAAGAAGACACACAAAACTCGATAAAATTGTGACTTTTTTTATTCATACCATTTACTTTCACAAAACTATGTGAAGTGTGTATACAAAACTACTAATGTTTTAAAATTGACAATTACGATTATGGAAGATGATCGTAATTTGCTGTCAGCTGTTTTCAGCAATAAATAATTTCATATCTGTACATACATCTAACTATTCAGTGTTAATGTGTATGTGAAAATGCTTTCTTTTATATATTAAATTCTTTTAAAAAAGTGGTATGTCAATTTCAGTAAATTTTTTTACTAAGCTAGAAAATGTGATTTAACAAACAATATAAATAAATTCATGCATCCATGATTTTTATTAATAATTTAATATAAAGAATATTGTTTTATTCAGGAATATATTCTGGTGAGAGAGATCTTCCACGATGATTAAATACTTGGAAAGATGGTAGATTCCGCAATGTCTCCCAAGATTTATTTTCCAAATCAACAACTGCCCGAATTTCTTTAAAATCACCAGCAATATACATAACTCCATACATTACAATAAATAAGCTGGCTATACCTTGGATTAAAATCTGTAACAAATAATAGTCTAATAATAGAATGTTTCAGAAAAAAAGAACATATCTATTAAATAAATTTATAAAATATTTTATACACAGCAATAGTAATCTTTAAAAAAAAGCAAGTAACGATATAAAAAATTATGGCTTACATCTATTGGCAAAGTAGTGAATTCCTGTTCCGTGATTCGCAAGTAGGAACGATCTACAAACAAAAAATTTTATGATAAGTTCTATTTGTTTTAATTACATTTTCTGTTCCTCGTTTGCTTCATCGTTCCTTTTAGGAACACATGTTTATTTCATTTAAAATGTACAAAGCAAATAAAAGAAGCAATCTATAATCGTAATGTAATGTTAACATTACGTTAACCTAGAAGAGTATAATTCAGTGAGAAACAATCGGACAGTAGAGAAAAATCAAAGCAAATACTTACGTTGTGCAGCAGAATAAGCTGCATGTAATATAGATGTAAATCCTACAAATGTTAAAAATTTATGCATAGCCGTAGCAGGCATGATGACAGATCATGCATCGAAATCCTGCAAAACCATGCGAAACACGACCAAACACAACTGATAATCGATCAAAAGTTGTCCTTAATCAAGTCAGTGTAGCCAAATTTGAAACGCATGAAGCAAGCAGCATGCCACCTAAGATAAACAAAATAAGCATCACCCCTTAGATTCTTTCTCTCTCGAAACTGAATAATTTTTAGCCAAGACTCAAACCAAAAATGATTTAAATGTTGGCTAAAATGGTTTGAGTCTTGACTAAAATGGTTTACAGTTTACATTTGCGACGAATGCATGGAACACACGTGATTACTTTTATGCAATTGCAACTCGGTATTTTTAATTATTGTGTTTTTATAAAATTAAATTTAAATTGAAAGTATAATTCAATATACGTTTACGCTTTGAACATGGGGGTAAGTGTTATTAATTTTTAAGTATATTTTTATTTAACAGACAATATCTTAAAGTTTAACCTAAAAAAAAATATTGAATTTAAACTTTTAAATATATAAGAAACTTTTAAACACTTAGGAAATTAACTTTACTTGCAAGAAAGTTATATAATTATTAATAATTAATTAATATATTAAACTTTAGAATATACATTTCTTACAATATTTCATTCTGATGTAGGTTATTTGTTTATTAACTTGTAACTTGTCGATAGTTTTACTTAAATTATAAAATAAAATGAAAAAATCAGAAATAGTTTATTACTTAAAAAGAAGAATATTTAATTTAAATATATCTATGATATCATTTATTTTATAGAAACTAAAGAAGCCAAAAATCAGTAAAATTAAAAGAAACAATCAAAAAAAGACAAAGCTTTCAAAACAAGGGAAACTTAAGACTCGGCGACATAAACCACTAAAGAAACAACCTCAGAAATCAGCACCACCACAAAAAGTAGTAGAAGAAGAGGAGAGTGATCATGGAGAAGATCTGATGAATATGATTGAAGAAGATGACTTAAATTTTATGAAGAAAGCCATATCTAACAAATCCTACAACTTATTGAAACATATTCGCTTAAATGAGTATGAGTCAGAATTTAAAAAATAGGATTTTTTTATACAACATATTATTAATTGTTTTTTATTTTAGAACAGATAAAGATCAGAGTAAAAGAAAAAGAAAAAATATTGAAAATGACAAACCATTAGAAGAAATGTATGAAAATAAAATTGCTAAAATAATGAAAGAGAAAGATGGAAAATCAATACGCATGTTGCTTCCTATAAAAACAAAGAATGGAGTTTTAGAAAAACGTGTTATTGAAGAAGATGTTGAAATTGCAAATAAAGAAGACAATGAAACCACAAATAATAATAATCAAGAAGAGAATGGAGAAAATGATGAGCAGGAAAATAGTGACACAGAAATGGATATAGATACACATGTAAGATTTAAATCTATTTGAATATTTAGGAAATTTTTTACAAAAATACATTATCTATTTTAAAAACTTTTAGAATAATTTGGAAGGGATTGATAAACCAGTTTCTACTGTCGAACTTCTGGCATGTCGCGAAGATCTATTGAAATCTAAACGATTAAAAATAGGTGTACTTTCAAGTGGCATCTTAGAAAATCCAGAGCTCAAATCTAGAAATTTAAAAATACTACTAGACATGATGGATGAAAAAGATTCCGAAGTCTACATCACTGTCAGAAAATTAACAACGATATCTCTTTTAGAAGTTTTTAAAGATTTGCTACCATCATATAATCTCTTACAGGTTTCTCAAGAAGGAGTACTTTGTATGTATATATGTATATGTAACATTTGCAAAAGTTATAATATATATCTACAATAATTTTTAATGAATTTTAGTGAAGAAAAAGACTCTTGCACTACAGAATTATGAAGCTACGTTGTTGAGAAGTTACAAAAAATATTTACAGAAACTCGAACAAATGTGTAAGATTTTGAGAAGAAAAAAAGGGGACACACGATCCATACACGAACGAGAAATACAATTAGGCGAAATAGCTTTATCATGCATGTGTGAACTTCTCACTGTTCATCCATATTTTAATTTCTCCATTAATGTAGCTAGTTACATTATTCCTTTCTTAGACAACAAACGGAGCAACATAAGAGAAAAAACAATGCAATGCATTTCTCAAGTATTTAAAGAAGACAAACGTGGTCAGCTATCTCTCACAGTAAGAATATATTATAATAATTTTATTTTCGTAGTATATTTTATATCTCAACACATAAAAAATATTTAACGAATTATTGTGTCATATCTTGTGCTAATAAAATTTTAGATAGTTCGAAAATTAAATCAATACATCAAGTCAAGGAAACACTCTGTATATCCTGAGATCATAGCAGTGTTGCTATCTCTTCGCATAAAAGATGTTAATCTTGATAAGGAAAAGGAAGAAGAAACGAAGCAAAAGAAGCTCATGTCTCACAAGCAAAGAATTCTCGCATTAAGCAAACGCGAGAAAAAGAAAAACAAAAAACTCGAACAAGTGGAAAAAGAATTGCTTGAGACAAAAGCTGAAGAAAATAAGCAGCAAAAACACAAGATTCTCACGGAAATAACGAGCATAATCTTTACTATATACTTCAGGGTTTTGAAACAAGCTCCTAATAGCAAAGTATTGTCTGCGTGTCTGGAAGGACTAGCCAAGTAAAGCAAATTGCATACTGCTATGTGTATCTTCTACTGACATTTTCTATACAATATTTTATTTTTACATTTCAGATTTGCACATTGCATCAATGTAAACTTTTACCAGGACTTGGTAAGCGTTATAGATAAATTAATAGAAGAAGGTAATTTAGGATTGAGAGAACAATTACATTGTGTTCAATGCATATTTACAATATTATCTGGCCAAGGCACTGCACTAAATATCGACCCGTATAGGTTTGTATTTAATGCTACTTTGCAATTTTATATGCAGAAAATATTTTACATGTTAAAAATAATATAAACTTTTTGTTGTAGATTTTACGTACATTTGTATAAAAATATATTGAATGTCCATTGTGGGAGGACACATGCGGAAACCGAGATTGTGCTAAAGATCTTGATACAAATTCTCATTCATCAGCGGAAAAGAATTACGCAAACGCGTATGGTAGCTTTTGTAAAAAAAATAAGCATGTTGTCTCTGCAATCGCAACATAATGCGACGCTAGGATTTCTCGGTATTATCAAACAGGTTATGCAACTCACTAAAGCTGCTCACGTTGCATTAGACACTGATTGCATCGGAGACGGTCATTATCAACCTGAAATTGAAGAACCTGATTATTGCAACGCTCATAGTTCCGCATTATACGAGCTTATTGCTTTACAGGTACATTTTTAATACGGTATCTTTTTCATTTGCTGAAAGACAGATAATACGATAACGTATTTTTACAGCGTCATTATCATACTGTAGTACAACAACTTGGGAAAAATATAGCATATACAGTACCTACGAGCGGTGAGGGCAGTTTGACTACCGAAATTGCAAAATTGTAAGTAATTAGCTTTACTTGATAATTTATAATTATAAAAAATATCACATATGACTTATACAATTAATACGAAAAGAAAACTTAGTGTCAGATTTTTACATTTTACTATTTGCTTTATTATTTTTAGATCACCAGAGGAACTTTACACAGAATACGATCCAGCTGGTGTAGCATTTAAACCTGCTGTACCTGTTCCAAAGAAAATTACTGTTAAAAAATCATCGAATTTAAATTATAGTATGAGTCCTACATTCGAAGAATACGTTAATACTTTTAACGTTGACAAACTAGTTGAATTAGTTGAAGATATAGACTTTTACGAAGCTTATACGAATAATTTATGAAATTAATAAAACAAAATATGTATATGAAAAATACGATAGTTTTCTATGACCAAGAAATATTTTACAACAAAATATATTTTGCAATAATAAAAAAATTAAAAGCATTTTAATATAAAATCAATATCTAAAAGTCAAATATCAATATCGAAATTCAAAAAGCTATTTATGTGACTTACAACAAAAATTGTTTTAAAGATATTTATACGTAAAGTGGTATTTAATAAAATAAATTTTGAATATGTATATGATACCGCGACACCACACTGTCAACGACATTTGTCGATGATCGCCGAACGTTTCCGATTCCACGGATTCCACCTACTTGCTCCTGTCAGCACGCGATTTACGATTTTGACATTATTTTGACATGTTTTGACGTTACTAAGAAAATTAAAAATATATTATAATAAAACTTAAAAGATGATGTCCGAAAGGGATTACGCGCCTTTGAGCGCAGCATGTGTTCGTTCTCTTAATGACAAATTGTACGAAAAACGGAAACCAGCCGCGGTAGAAATCGAAAAGTAAGGTTATATATATGTATATTATTTTTTTACATTCTTGTATTGCTACATTCCTCGAATTTAACATAATAAATTCGACAGGATGGTGAAAGAATTCGCCGCTCACAACAACACCGTACAGATCAAAAGATTACTGAAGGTTCTCGGACAGGACTTTGCCACTTCGCAGAATCCGCATACACGCAAAGGTGGCTTAATCGGTCTCGCAGCGATTGCCGTCGGTTTGGGAAAAGACACTGGCCAATATATAGAGGATCTGATTCATCCTATCCTGGCATGCTTCTGTGATTCTGATCTGAGGGTCAGATATTACGCCTGCGAAAGTCTATACAATGTAGTGAAAGTGGCAAGGGGTGCGGTATTGCCTCAGTTTACAGATATTTTTGCAGCTCTCAGTAAACTGGCCTGCGATTCCGAGCAGAATATAAAAAACGCTACCGAGTTACTCGATAGACTAATGAAGGTAATCCTAGCATTACATAGTATTACCTGCTGTCGCCAGCAAAAGCGTTTTTACATAGTATGCTTTATATAATTTCAGGACATTGTAACAGAAAGTGGCCTCTTTGATTTAGTCGGATTCATGCCTTCGTTGCGTGAACGCATTTATACTAAAAATTCATTTGGCAGACAGTTCGTAATATCATGGGTGTCTGTGTTGGATGCAGTGCCCAACATGGATTTTATTATATTTCTACCGGAGATACTTGATGGATTGTTCAGGATATTAGAAGATCCAACGCCAGAGATCAAGAAAGTTACAGATACAGTTCTTGGTGAATTTTTACGTAGCATAAAATCTAATCCCGCGCGAGTGGATTTTCCAGCTATGATAAATATATTGATTACACACGCTCAGAGTTCAGATGAATTGCTTCAATTAACCGCCATTACATGGATAAAGGAGTTTGTATATTTGTCGGGTCCTCTTATGCTCCCATATATGTCTGGCATTCTCTTGGCTGTTTTGCCATGCTTAGCCTATGATGGTGATACGCGAAAGAGTATCAAAGAAACAGCCACTCAAGTAAACACAAATTTAATGAAATTAATAATCATGGAAAATACAGAGATTACAAATAAAAAGCAAGAAGATAATACGAACTCCAAGAAAGAGAAGAATGGTAAGCAAATATTTGCTTATACTTTAATAAGTAGCCAAATAGTACTTTGAATAATTTCAAACATATTTCGAGTGCTTCAAATCACTGCAAAGATTATTTGAAATCGGAAGTACAAATTATTCTTAAAATTCAACAGTTTTAAATAAATTAAAAACTTTATATTTTACATGATAATCAATTTCTTTTTCTTCATGTTTATTTTCAGATGTGAAAGAAAATTATTCTTTGACTGAAAGCTTGGATCTCGCCAGTATCGTAGAAGTACTTACGAGATATTTACTGTACGTATCGGTCCAAACCAAAGTTGCGGTTTTAAAATGGATACATCATTTATTCATAAACATTCCACATGAAATGTTTAATCATATCGAGGACTTGTTTCCGATATTAATGAAATCTCTAAGTGATACTTCCGACGAAGTGGTGCAACAGACTTTAGTAGTAATGGCTGAAATTATCAGCTCAAAATCTCCGGAGGCGGTAACGACTGACCCCGACGCAAAAATGCAGAATAAATACTTCACAAAGTTTATAGTCAATTTATTAAGAGTCTTTTCAACCGACAGACACTTGTTGGAAGAACGAGGCACTTTCATTATAAGAGAGTTATGCATACTTTTGAGCGCGGAAGATATATATAAAACGCTAGCAAATATATTACTAGAAGAACAAAATTTAAGCTTTGCGTGCACAATGATACAAACTCTGAACGTTATCCTGTTAACCAGTTCCGAGTTATTTGATTTGCGCAACAAGCTCAGGCATTTGGATTCTCCAGTAAGTACACAGTGTTACTCAATTTCTTTGCAAAATTTTATTCATATTATTGAACATATTGATTTTATATTTTTGCTTAGATAAACAGAACATTACTGAGATTTTTATTTTCAGGATAGCTGCGCCTTATTTGAATGCCTATATGTATCGTGGTGTCATAATCCAGTCGCGACAGTGGCTTTGTGTCTCCTGTCACAGCATTATCGACATGCATGCAATATCATTCGATCGTTGTATCCTTTATTCTATTTTATCTCATCCTATCGGAAAACCTATCGGTTTTCATCATTTTGACGACTGTTTTAAAACCTTAACAATATCTTTATGCGTGTATCAGCGAAAACATAGAAGTAACAGTAGAGTTTCTCACGGAAATAGACAAATTGGTACAGCTAATAGAATCGCCGATATTTACTTGTAAGTATTCAAAATTTAAAAGATATTAAAAGAGTATTACATTCTTTTCTTGTTTCAGATCTGAGGCTGCAGCTGTTAGAATGGGAAGAGAACGATGCTCTAATATACGCGTTATATGGTTTACTGATGATTCTACCGCAGAGTGAAGCCTACGCCACTTTGCAACGTCGTTTAGCCGCGATACCTCCAGCTACGAAGCCGATACCTAAAAGTGAAAAATCGCAAAAGAAAACGGACGCTTATTGCCCGTTTAATTTCAGTGAGCTGTTGAAACATTTTCATGTAGTTCAGGAGCAACATAAAGAACACAAGCGCAAACAAAGACTGAACTCCTTAGTCGAGAGGAATGCTAGTCACATAGACGTGTGAGTCACATATGCATTTTTACGACGCGTGAATACGTACGGATTTTACGTATAACGTATATAAAGGGGAAAAAAAATATATATATATATATACGCCTGATTTGTTTAATTTTTACCGAATCTGCATAATGATATAAGATAATTGTACATTCGCACCTGTGTTTAGCTTTGTTATAAGAATATGATGATTATTTATTGAAACACAATCGTTGAAAAGTTAGAAATAAACAACCGTATGTTGACTTTAAAATAAAATAACGATTTATTTAGTCAAAAGGATAAAAGTACGAAGTCGCGTCTACACTTATACTTATCTACTTAACAATCTGTACATCAATAGCTGTACACATAATCTGACTTCTAATATATACACCCTGATTTTCAGTCTTCATCTCATAAGTATCGTCGAATTGATAGAGAAATGACAAAATTGCACACATTAAAGTTCATATCCCGAATCGCCTATATCTTCCAATCTATCAATCGCTGACAAATGGTCAAGCTGATCTATGAGCAGACCATTTTCATAAAGCAACATCGTAACTTGTTCTTGCGTGTCGCAGATGTTGCGCCATTTCTTCGTGCTCTCTTGGGCCGGCACGTTTGTTTTTTCGATCGTTTTCGACTTGCCCGGAAGCCTGTCCAGCGAATGCAGTAGATTCTCGTAACGCTCTTTACTGTCTTGCGACAAACGATAAGAGAATGACTCCAAGGCAGTTTCGTAAATATCGATGTCTTTGTCTAATATTTGAGTTTGCAGGAACACCGTTTGTGCCATTTTGTACCAATCGGCGACGCACTCGGATCGCTGCGTCATAGCCGGTGCACATTCCGTCTCGAGAAGCACTTTCAATCGGCGTCCCGTTTCCGTGACCTGTTCATTGAATCAAATTACAGGAATTAGCAAATTGTAAGGAATAACTTGTTTCGGACGCATAATTCAATATCGCTGCAAATCAGAAAGCGTTACGTAAATTTAATTTATGTACCTTTATACGTTCAAGAACGTGAAACTGTTCGTCGTTGTAAGTAAGATTACGAGTGGCTCTGTCTCTCAGCAAATGTTGCCATCCATCCCTCAAACGGTCGACTAACGTCGCTGCCCTTTGGCTTGCTTTCGTGGCCCACGGGCACCATAAGTTTCGAGTACTACTGTCCCATTCTCCGCGTAAACTACCTTCCTTTACATACCTGTAATTTGTACTAATTATATTTCCTCCATTATCCTTTATTAAATTCACTATGAGTCATGGAACCAGAGTGAAAAATTTAATGTTTATAAACAATCATGAATGTAATTATATTTTAGGATGATTTACCTTTGATGAAGTTGCACTATCGCTGGCGTCAGCTCAGTCGTGAGCTCTTTGCTCTTCGTGTCTAATTCTTTCCGCCAATTTTTCACCTCCACCGGAGTTTGACTCCCGAATTTTCGAAAGACATGCTTGGCAAAAGTCTCGTTCTTCTCTATAGCGAACACAGTGTCCTCCAAGGCCTTCGTGAATTCCTTCGCATGCTGGCATTTTCCCAGCACTCGAGTGAGCTCCGTAGACAACAGACTACTAAACGCTTCTATGGCATCTCGCGACAATTTACTGCACAGTGCCAGTTTGTCGATTCTACGTTTACAGACGTGACCGACGGAACACGCGACCTTGGCTTGACTCGCGTCGTTCTCCACGGAAACGAGATTTGCGAAAACGGGAAATTTAGGCAGTTCGCTCTCCACTGGCAAGACAACGTTGTTGTTTTCTCGCGAGAACAACATCAACGGTTTGTCGTTGCTGGTAGCGGGATATCCCTTGCCCGGCATAGACTCCTCGACGAGATTCGTGAGAGGGGTTTCTCCCAAAAGAAGAATTTGTGCATGGGGCATAATATCGGTTTGATCTTGAATGTGTATCTGCAGAGCGACCAGCTTCTCTTCAGGATGCAGAAAGACCTTGATCAAGCCAGCTTTGTGAACGTTGAATATGTGAATGGATTTTCTGCAGAGTGTGTCAGTGACTTCGCTGAAAAATCGATCAAAGCTCCAGATTCTTTGCGGATCTACCTCCAGCAGGCCGGCCAGTAGTGGAGTCACTATCTTCTTCAAGCCCACGCTTAACTGGCAGCTCTGCGGCAGCTCTCTGTTCCATTCAATCGGTCCATTCTCCGAAGTTTGCAGACCAGATATTACACCCGACGCTTTTTTCGTGGTGATATAAAACATGGTCTCCTTGTTCCTTCGTCCACCGAATGGTCTGAACGGCAAGTTTCCTGTCGCAACATGGTAGAGGGTCACGCCTATAGACCATAAATCGACAGTCGCACCGAACGTTTTACCAACAGGTTTCCTCAAGACTGCACGCTCATACATATCTGGATGCAGATATTCCTCAGTGCCGTACAGAGAAACAAATTGCTGATCTTCCTGCAATTCTCGAGCAGCCCCAAAATCAGTAAGCTTGTATATTGTACTGCCATCGTCAGCGATGAATTTCATTATATTACCTGTGTGAAAGGAAAACAAGCAATTAACATATCTCAAAGATAAAACACATATAAGTATCTAAGTCACATTTTCTTACCTGGTTTTAAGTCTCTGTGAACTAAATTATTGTCACGCAAGTGTTTCATACCAGCTGACAGATGCTCCAGCACTAACAAGAACTCGCTCTCCGCGAGACCATAAGTGTTTTCGGGATCATCCAGGATGTTAAAGAGACTACCACCGGTGCAGAGTTCCATGACGATCACCTTACCTCTGCCCTCCTGCTCCTCCTCAATGGCCAACAACTTGACAATGTTCTCATGCTTGACCTTTTTCAAGACCTCAAATTCTCTCACTTGAACATCATGCGGCCGCATATGACTGAGCTGATTGAAAGTTTTGACCGCGACGGGTTCCCCGTTATTCTTGTTGACACCTTGGAACACTGCGCCGGTCGCACCCTTGCCAAGCACACTGGTAGTGCACCAAACATAGTTGGCGGAACCACGAAGGAAGGACATAATGTCCGAGTCGTCTTTTCCTTGACATTAGCGAACAGCTTTCACCTGCCTCATTCACTGGTCTTCCACGAATCCATCATTGATCTTGTATACATTTCGTGACTTGTTTTTCGCACTTTTCCGTACTGTATGTCGACCACACTCATATAATTAATTACAAAATTATTTACAACAATAGTAAACTGATGCAACTTTCCAAAAACTTTATAATCTTGATACAACTTCGACGAGTTCAGATTTTGACGTGTTCAGATTTCGACGTGTTCAGATTTCGACGTATAAGCAAGCGGAAAAAATCCGTATGTCTACTCGAGAAAACGCAAACAAAACTATAATTCTTTTTTTTATATTCGTAAAATCGGAAATTAAATTTATTAAAATTATCCTGGTCTCAGTTTCGGATAATTTTGCAGACTTCAAAAACTGATAAATATAAATGCGCTTCAATTACAGTTTTTACACTCTTCTATAACTTATTTCTTTTCTCTTTCCTTGTTCAAGCGGAAAAAACACTCTTTTTATTTTAGATACCACACCTGCAACAAAGTGCAGTTAAGACCCTGCTTGATATCTGTTTAGCTATATATTATTCCACTTTCTACATTTAAAACGATACAGGTATATTGATATAGATCTTCAAGGAAAAAAGGAGAGAAATAAAATTTGAAAGGTGCAACTAAAACAAACAGGTCCATTATCTCTGATTTCTTTATTAATTAGATTAAATGAAATTAGATTAGGTTATGTTATTCCAATTACCGACGCAGCATTCAAGTCGGATAAAATCGGTCCCAACATAAACGACAATCGGTAAAGTGAATCACTACTTTGACGTTAAAAGAAATTGCAAGTACATTTACTGGACTTCATTAATCATGCGCTAGAGTACACACATATGTATACACAGATGTAATGCATAGTTTGCGTGACGTAAATGTAGGTATTTATCTTGTTATTTTATAGATTCTTTAATTTCTGTGTATTCTTCGAACTGCAACATTAATTTTAATTTTCTTTTGACTGGCGTCCATTTTTCCTTGTTTAAAATAAGACTCGCAATTCTCGTTTTTTATTTTTTTTTTTTTGTAATTTCCGCCTTGTTTGTCCTAATATAGTTATTGCGTTTCAGAAATGAGAGGCTGTAGATATACATAAACACGCGGACGATAACCCCCGGCATACGTCTCAATGATACGAGGGTCATCGGAGTTACGAGAGCTGTTGAATCATTGGAAAATCTAGAATAACAATCGCAGAAAAGCTTGTTCATTTTACGCATGTTGCACTTCATTTCGATATAAGATAATCCCAGAATTCGGTGGGTATATTTTTAAAGATTTTTAAATTTCAGTCTAAATTCTATCTATTAATCGCTAGATAAGCAAGAACAATAATTAATTAAGAAATTTAATTAATTTTCACGTGATACACACGCTGCACTCCACTTCGTCCATGAGATATGATTGTAAGAATTGAATATGTATATTTTCAATGATTTTTATGTGAGTTCAAAATCTATTTATATATTAATCGCTGGATAAGCAAACAAAATAATTTAGAAAATTAATGAAGAATGTAAAACAGTCTACTGATTAAATATCCATATAATCAGTTGTGATTTAACATTTTAAAAATATTTGTAGATATGTAAATATATATATATCTTTATGATTTCTATTAAAATATATGATATTTATTCTTTATTAAGGCAATTTTTTTTGTTCTTAAAGCTCACATGTAAAAGACAGGAGATAAAAGAAGCAAACTTGGTAGAGGCATGAAAACCTTTTCTCCGATTAACAGCATCTACAAAAAGCAAAGAACTAGAAGGAGGCAAGTGGATCTCAAAGTGATATACACAAGCGAAAAAAAGATTACGGGACACTGATGTACTGGATGTGTGAGAGATTACGCAAAAAGCGTAAAAACCACTGACGAATTACGGTAATTGTATATGTCGTCAATAAGCAATTCCGTGAAGCCAGTTCGAACCGGCGACGTAGGAAAAAAAATACTGATCATCGTGCATCAGCCGGCGACCGACGTGTCGTGGTTCTCGCGATTCAATCCGCGCCCCGCGTAACCCTCTCCTCCTTACACGGACTCAAGGGGTTAATAATAAGAGTAGCCGGTACGAATATCGCGCTTTCAGTCGGCCCGCAGCCTCTCTCTTGGCTGTTATTCTCTTGCCGCGTGAGATAAGCACTTCCTGTGAGGAGGAAGAAGCTCCTCACTAGTGTGTTTCCCGTTGATATGTTTGCAACGATCAATTAAGATTTCGAGAACACACGTCGGCCGTTGATTAGTGTGAATCACAAGACGATGGATAAGTTAATCGTATCCTGTGTACTTTTCTACCTGTACTGCGCGTTTCTTCAGCCCTGCGAAGGCGGCGCGAATGCTAATCGGTAAAGATCGTCAAAATCTTATCGTTTTTATTTCGCAAGACGCTACCCAGCAATTTTCATTATGATCATCGCATTATTCACTCGCGGATATCGAATTTAATTGCAAATCTCTCGGTTATCTAACTAAGAACAACACTTGCGATACTCGTTGCGCACTAATTTAATAATAGCTACATTGATTTTTCTTTACGATAAACTCTACAAGTGTAAGATACTATCAAGTAAGAAACTAACCGGGCAAATGGGATAAAAATCTGAAAGATTTTTTTAAAATACTTAAATATAAAAATGTATTCCTTCAACTTTTCAACATCATGGAATTGTACAATCCATATATTTAATTTGTTCGATACTTAAATAACTGGAAAACATTAAATTTAATAAAACCGATTAACATTTGATGTTTAATAGGATTTTGTGTAACATTTTTCATGCATAAGTTTTGGAAAAAATCTTAAAGTACAGAATGGATTTACTGTGGAAGTATTTTTCAATTTATTATTCAATTTAGCTAACATATTTAATTATTCTAAAATCTAAAGTTTTTTCAAAGTTGGTTTTTTCACAACGTTTCTCTTTGTTGTGCGTAATTAATAATTCTTTTTTTTTTAGAGGATACGTCTTTACTGCACCAAGAAGATTCTTAGCCGGCGAAACCGAGAGTAGCTGTCTGTCGCTACATAATCTCGAACCACCGGCACATGTTCTCTTGGAGCTGCTGTCTCCGGCGTCAGATACAGGCGCAGAGGACGAGATATTGACCAAAACAAGTAGCATCGTCAAAACAGGCAAGCGCATTTCTCTTCCTTATCAGATATTTTCTTAATCTCGGCAATATTGTCTAATTCAGAATATTTAATTTTTGACTTATTGGAATGAATTCGTTATATTATTTGTGTGTGTGTGTGTGTGTGATATATAAAGTGCTTCAAAATTGGTAAAGAATAACATTTTTAACGTTTAGAATTAATTTTTACAGAAAAATAAGTCGTAAAGGACCATTTTTTCTAACTTTAGTGCTTGATATTTCAGTTATCAAAATGCTTTATGTTTTGCTTCATACATATAAAAGTTTACATTTACGATCTTACGTCTGAAGAATAATTAAATATTCGGATACGACTGCAACGTGATAACTCATAATTGAACTTGTTGCCCCGCACGCAACGCGATAACACATAATTGAGAATGCCCCGTGGATTCGTACGTTGATCCGAAGACGAAACAATGGGGTAGCAAACGGAAGTGCGGTACTTTCAGATCCATCGGGCGAAGGGAAAACCTTAAGAAAAGATGACGAAGAAGTGATAAATTTATAAGCTGCATAAGCCTGTCGAAAATTTCGCTCTTGTGTCCAAAAATCCCAGCTACGCCCATGGGTCGGGCATCGTCCTTTCTCTCTCTTCCCTTGCGGCGCGAATCGGACGCTTTAAACAAATCGTAAATTGAAATTGTCGTCGCTTCCTGCGGGGGAGTTAAATAAGCCGAGTCTCTCTCCGAAGGGGAAATAACTAATCGCTCGAGACCACATGGGAAACCCATCTGTATTGTTATATACACGGGGTGAACAACAAGTACCGCTCGATCAAGGTCCGAGTTTATCATACATTTGCTGACGTCGTAGTCGCGCGAAAAGATTTATCAATGAATTGCTAAAGTACGGATAGTACTTGGCGAAGTAAATCACGGAACTTGATGCATCAATGTCCGATGAAATAATTAGGTGGAGATATCTTTTTTTTGTATATTGATTTTGTATCCAAATAATAGAAATAAATCTTTTACGTCTTTAGAAAAATTCTAAAAGCTTGACTATTCTATCTTCTTCGAATCATTTAATTTAGCTGCAATTGTTGCAGTAATAATTAATCTAATCAACTTACTTAATTATACACTTTTACACCTGATAGCAATTTGTTTATGTCTGCCATCATTTTTGTAGTTCAAATATCTGTGCTTGTAAAATAAATAATTTTAATAATGCTTATTTGTGTTTGCAGGAATAGAAACATGTTTGGAGCTGGCAGTACCCTTTACGAAATACTTCAGCGGACGATTACGATTGAAAATAAAGTTCGACAAATATCCCGATTATGTCGTGGAAACGGAAAAGGAAGTCTACATCGAGCACGATTCTTTAATCACATTCGTGGAGACGGATAAGCCGGTCTACAAACCAGGGCAAGATGTGAATATTAGAATCCTCACGCTCAAGCACGATTTAAAGCCATGGAAGAAAATGGTGCGTTGCTCACAAATATATAATATTGATATCAAGTAATCCACAAATTTAAAATTACTGTTTACAAATTTGCAATAATTAATTATTATAATAGATAATATTAATAACAATAAAATATGTTTTTTCTTAATAACATCGAGTATGCCTTTCTATTTCTAGATACCAAAAGTATGGATTGAGAATCCATCCGAGGTACGAGTAGCGCAGTGGACCAACGTCAGTACTGAAAATGGAATGGCGCAATTAAAGTTCCCTTTATCGCCGGAACCAAGTCCGGTAAAGTTCTTTTTTTTCTTGCAATTATAAGAGTTACATAAAAGGAAATGTCAATGATTAGAATGCTGATAACGCTTTCTGTGCTACAGGGAACCTGGAAAATTAAAGTGGAAAAAAGAAGATCGCAGCCGCAACTGATTCATACAACCATATTCGAAGTGAAAAAATATGTTCTTCCCAGATTCCAAGTGACTATAACTTCACCGGGATATATTCTCGCCGATGCGGAGAACGTGACATGGAACATATGTGCAAAGTAAGTGATCGTCTTTTGATAAAACAAATCGAAATTTTTTGCTTTAATTACACTTTTTGCTAAATTTACACATTGATTTATCTTATATATTATGATATTATAGGTATAGTTACGGCAAGCCGGTGAAGGGTAGATTACTTTTAAAATCGACACCGCAAATACCGGCATGGAGACGGAAGCCTAATCTTCCAGAAGTACATTACGAAACAGAGGTCAATAGTTCTTCCAACCTTTAATCTTCATCAGTTAAAAAAAAAATTCTTTCTTTTTAATTAATTTCAGTTATATCTGCACACAGATTACATAATATTCTACGAATATAGCATGAGACATGCTATATTTGTTAAAATTTCAAATTTAAGTTTGTTGCAACTAATTAATTGTTACAGCTGGATTCGCCAGATGGTTGCACCGAGTTTGTACTGTCGAGCGCGGTGCTCGGACTGGCCCAATGGAAAGTGGCACCGAATAATATCGTTCTCATAGCTAACTTTACCGAAACTGGTACGGGCATAGTAGAGACAACGATCAGTCATACCGTGGTCGTGCAGCAGGCTCTGAAACTGGAATTTCTGCCGTATACACCGAAATATTTTAAATTAGGCTTACCATATCACGGAAAGGTAAAAATCACAAGTAATCAGTTTCAGTTAATGCAAATTAAAGTTAAATAATTGGTAAATAATGAAAATGGCGATAAGAGCCGTTGCAGGATGTTCGTGCTAAATTTTTAATTTTTCTTAAAGAAATTAGTAAATTAGTCTACAAGAGACAGTTAAAATGTACACCGATCTCAATTCGAGATACTTAAAGTGTACGAAAATTTTAAAGTACATAGTTCTCATATATCGAGAAACTTTAATGTACGTATAGGAATTATTGTAAAGAAAGGAAGAGAGAGAAAAAATAATCAGGGCGCGAG